GCTATTCGTCTAGTGGGAGGCGCGGTGGCTGAGTAGGGTAGCCGGGTTCGAATCCTGGTGAAGACTACTGAGATTTTTTACTTTCGGGACCTTTAGGGTGCCTCTGAGTCCACCCAGCTCAAATAGGTAACTGACATAAGCTGGGGAAATGTAAAGGCGGTTGGTCGTTGTGCTTGCCACATGACACCCTCGTTAACCGAAACAGATGACATTGACATCATCTGACCCATAAATCACAAGGTCTGAAAGAGGAAACTTACTCCCTACTTTATTCTTCTAGTGATTCTAGTCAGACAAAGCCAAACGGAAAAGCGCCTCATTATGCACCGTTGGACAGAAGATTTGAGTAAAGCTGAGGGCCCTTAGGTTGGGCACTGCCACTATTGGGCGCTGGTTAGGAACGAAAACCTCAGCTGGTGATTTTAGTTTACGTTAAAAGATACTAGAGTTGTCGAACTTTTGTGTGTGTTAAACTAAATTAAAATGTTTCAGACAGCATTATCAGCTATGTTTTTTTTTTCTTTTGGGTGTGATGCTGGTTCAAAACTAAACACTGGGAAACCGATTAAGCTGGGTGTTGTTACCGGTCGTTGACTTGTAGAACCAAGCTGCTGGGAGACAACCCGTGGTAGGCATAATATATCTTAACTAATAAAGCTTCGAATAACTTGAATAACTTCGTTTTGTGAACAATACTCCATAACATTGGGTAGATTTAGAGGCGCCCAAAGATCAAGAAATTAAACAATTCCAGTCTTCAACCCTGTTCGTAAGCCAAGCGCTTTACCGCTCAGTCACCGCGTCACACATCAAACAGAAGGTATTAGAATGTTCTTCGTTACTGTTGTTGTTGTTTTTTTGTCATTTTAACAATAGTTTGAATTTGAATTTCTATATCTAGTTCTATTAGAATTATTGATAGGTTCTATTTGAAAACAAAATTAAAAGTCTCTTTCCGGAAAGAAATAATGTGTGGTTGATTACAAATAAGTTTTGTCTAGTCTCATTCTAGTCTCTCTCTCTCTTTTTTTCAATCTCTTTTACAAACACACACACACACGTACCAACCACACACCATATAGACACAAACACACACCTTTTTTTTATAGTATAAACTACTTTTAGATAAACGAGTAATTTAAGGGTTCTTTAACCCACTCGGTTATTATACCATTAATATTTAACGCAATATTTAACGCAAATGTCTATAAATATAACAATCCATTCCTTAGTGTTCAAAGAGTTAATAGACATAATGACTTCTTCAAACGTTGAATGGGTTAATACAAACAGTGACTGCTTAACGCAAGGGATAGGCTGATGTCGAAAGTGCCACTGATGCTTCCATGACTTAAAGCACACTGTCAATTGAAATGCTAATTAAAATAATTGAACAGACGCTAGTTGGCTCATCGCATGAGTTTCAAATTTAGTCTTTCTCGAGTGAAAAAAGTATCTAATAAGTTTAAGGCTATGCGTACTTTATTATTACTGGTATTTCTATGTCAGGTAATCTGTTGTTGTTTTTATATTAATTAATTGATTAATGTATAAAGAAATAAATAAATATAAATACATTGCTATATGCAGACTCACTGTCTGCTCTATTCCAACCTTGTCTCTTAAACTGATCATCTCTAATAAGGGTGTCTGTTGTTATAAATATCTTCCGCTTCTTTAGACCTGTTAAAGGCTACTATTTCTTCTATGTCACAACCTCTTTAATTTTGTATCAGGGGGTGCCACTTTATACGCCCTTATTAATTTTACTATATCGACTACAAATTTCGGTTTTCTCTCTATTACGAATATTCTCAATTTATCCTGACACTCATAAATAACTTTGTCTAGTATAAAAAATGTTTTTAGTTCGTCAAAAGTCTTTTTTTATTTTTATTGATTCTGTCCAGTGGTCAAAGTAACTGTTCGTTCGGTCTAAAAATGTCATTTTTTATTTACCGTACTTACATCTTTAACTTTTTTCTTTTTTTTTATTTAGGCCTACAACTTTTCCTTCTCTATGACTAACCATTCTTTCTCCATAGCTCGCTTCTCTCTCTTTATTTCCTTTCCCTTCACCTATCCCATAGTCTGTTGGACCGTTGGGGCACCACACAAGATTTGTCAACCGTCCATTCTTTTATGTTGTCTTCCCACCGCTTTCTCTGTGTCTTCTTTTTCCTGGTACTGTTCCCTGAAGGAATGTCTTGTAATGGCTAGATTACTAGGTGTTCTTTTTCCTTATCCGTAGATAATTTCTCTTTCTCTCTTTCTTTTTCCTTGGCTAATTCTCTTTCTCAGGAGCCAACTTTTTGCTTTCAATCAATCTTTCTTGTAAATACTTTCTCCTTAAATACTTATCCTTATAAGGTCAATAGTCTCCCTTCTTACTTCAAAGCCAGTATCTCAGCTTTATCCACCATGTGTGTACTTTTTTTATGGAGTTATCTGACTTTAGCAATTAATTAGATTCAATTCCTATATACTTAATTAATGCTTGAAGCCAACAATGTACACATCTAATTGTAATGTACTGAGATTATGCATATACTGTCATTATGCATTATGATACAAATGTTTTTATACACTCCTGAATATTTTTCTTCCTGGTAGTATTGCTTTAGCTCTTAGTGTAGGCCTATATTCTCCGCCGCTGATGTGTGTCTTTATTTTGTTAAATAGTTTTTTAAGTGTGGAGGTTCTTAATTAATATAAGTATCTAACGAAAATAAATATTTAACTTCATTCTACGTGTAGATCTATACTTCCTACTAGTTAGAGATGCCACTTCAATAAATGACTAGGCCTATTCTATTCTGACTTATCTTATACATTACAGACGTTACTTCAAATAAGGAGATAATTACGTCCTACGCATTTCACATGTCAATCTAGTCATGCATTGTAATCAATGACTTAAACTCTGCAAAGTCGTTGGTTTTCCTGGCTGATTTAGGCAACCCATCCCATTCCATTCTCTAATGGCTCTAGGTAAGAAGGAGCACTTGTACAAAATTTGTTCAAGCGTATGGAATAAGAAATAGGCCTGTATCTGTGTGTCTTTTTATTTTACCAGGCTACTTGATATATTTTTTAAAGAGCAATCTTTGTTACAACGTTAAGAACATCTATATCTGCTCGTAAAATTAGATTTATAAAATGCTCTTGAAATCTGTCAAGATGGCGAAATTGCATAAATTTTCATCATATTTTGTTTCAATCAAGAAATAACATCTGCCTACAGTGCATTTCGAAGGACGTTTTATTTAATAAACCTTTCACAAAAATCTGACAGCATGACACATTTGCACTTGATATATTAAAATATTATTTTTTTTACAGTGCTGTATTGTTAGAATTTTTTTAAAGTCTCAGCGATCTATAGCTAATAAGGCTTTATTCTGAAGATTAATGAGGGGTGCAGTATTTCACTTGGTTACACAGTTCCATCTACGACCTACATATTTTGCCAACTCCAGTGCACACATAACCGTTGTCCTCTGGTTGTCGATTTAGGTTCTCTCTACGACGTCAACATTTGCAGTCCTCGGCAGCGGATAGTTTTTTCTCGTCTTGAATGTGTATCCCGCGGCCTTTGTAAGAAATCTCCGTCTCGTTCGGGAGCCGCCTGCTGCCATGTGCTCTCTATAACTATAGTTGTATTTTAATAACTGGATTAGTGGATTATATAAATTTAGGCCTATATGTAAATTCTCAAAATCTTAATTGGCCTGTTTACCCTTTTAATCTAAAACGTTTATTGCAGTCTTTTAAAACAGTACTCTAATATAGGCTTCATATTGGCCTAAATACAGTTTGAAAAGATCGTTATAGAAGAGCTTCAGGTCGTCCACTTCTCTCATTAGGGAGAAAGAAACATGCAGAGCAAGCATAAGGAGCGGTTCAGTTGGTGTACACTCCAGAAGTAGGAAGATTGTAGTCGCTGCGCCATCTGGTGATCCTACGTGTGACCGTGGATGTGAATCTAGAATTAGTCACAAGAGAAGTTGCAAAGGGAAAAGATCGTCTCTCAGATGTATAATGCCACGGATGTTTGTACTTTATAACATAGTATGTTAATCATTGACTTCAACTCTGCTAAGTCATTGGTTTTCCTGACTGATTCAAGCAACCCATTCCATTCTCTAAATGCACTAGGGAAAAAGAATCATTTGTACGAATTGATTCGAGCGTGGGGAATAAGAAATGTGCCTCTATCTTTGTGTCTGAGTATTTTATTAGGTTTTGTTTGTTTATTGTAAATGTATTATGTATTATAGCTTCTTTATTTTTTATTGTTCATTCCCGAAGTGCCTCCCAGTTTAGTAATTTTACTAATGGTCCTACCCATCTAGTAGAAAAAAACCTCTTGAATTCAAAACTCTGCTTCTTGCGGCTATACCCAAACATAGAAAATGCTTTGGGAAACATCCCTGAGGAAAAATTAGGAGACAGTGACCCTCAGATAGCTTGCATACTTCCCTGAGATAAATTAGAAGCCAGTGACCCTAAGTCAGCTTGCATACTTCTTATAAAATTGTGTATCCTGCTGAAGTAATAGTGAATCTCTGCCAGTTCCTTCATTTCTTATACTTTATACTAAAGATTTAAAATTAAGATATTTTTTTTTGGGGGGGGGGGGTTAGGAGGAGAAAGGGAAAGACCTACTACAGCATATTTATCTTTTAAAAGAAAAGATAGTAATCTAGTAGCAGGCTGTCTGTAAGGGTGGATCCAGACCAGGTTCCATAAAAGTTTTCTCTCTCCTTTGTCTTTCCAATGAAAAACACAGCATCAACAATGGCCTACATTTTCTCCCTCATTTAGTTAGGCACCTAAAGACCTCTCACCTGCACAGGTCACTGATCCGTGCAATACCCTCAATCTCACCTTCACAGGTAAATGCTCATTACAATAATATCTATCTCACTTTCACAGTCTGCACATTTCAATACCCTTAATCAATCTATCTCTTTAACAATGAAAAAAAAAAAAAACTAATTTTAAAACAAGTATGTTTTTAATTTTTTCCAAATTATACAAGCACCCCATAATAAATAAAAGAAAATAAACATTCACATTATTGATATATATATGTTTGTCTCATATAATAAATACAAATTTATATTTACATTATTGTATTGTTATAACTGTAGAGGGAGCTTAAAGACAGTTGTGAAGAATTAGAAAATACTGTAAGTTTGATTTTTTAAATATTTTATCTGCAGGGACAGAATCTTTTATGCTTTACCCCCTCACTCTCAATTTTAAAGCAAATTGAAAAGAAAATAATTCTTTTTAGTAGTCAGTTGAAAGATTTAAATTGTATACAAGTACAACTGTAGATGCCAACCATTTATCAAGTTTATTTACCTTTAACTTTTTTATTATGCAGGTGGACATTTTGATATACTTTATAACTTATCTTTATAACTTATAAATCAATGAAAAAAAAAAGATAACACTATCTCACAATATTTGTTTTTTCATTTAATTTTGTTTGCAAAGAAAGCTTATCCAACCCAAATGCTTAATTTTGTGAAACAAATGTTTGTTTTTTTCTCTTCTTTAACAAGAAAAACAAAACGTTACAGTGATACAATGATATTATGCTTCTTTGACATATGAATAAACAATGACATTTATTTAACTACTTTAAAACAACATATACAGATGTATCCACACCTATATTGGAACAAAACAACAGTACAAAAAAAAAAAAAAAAATTCCAAAGAAGCACAACATGGAATTTAATAATACATTATCAAGAATATGTATCTGTTATAAGCCCCCAATAACTATTCCAGTAGAATTGTTTTTCTTACATCAGATTATTTTGCATGTTGTATTTGAAATCTAATTATAAAACAGAAGTAGACACAGCAATTAAAAAAAAAAAGTAACTTTTTATTTCAAGAATGAATGCAGTGACTAAAGTCAACACATCTACTCTATAAGTTAATAACTTGCAAGTTCTTTTACTTTGAAATTTTGTTTCCTCTCTAGATCCCAAGGTCTGAAAGGGGAACTTCCCCTTTTTTTTTTTTACTCTAAACCTTTAAATGATTAAGCTCATATGTAAACTAAAAAAAAAATGAATTAAGGAAAGTAACTGCTCAAGAACATCTGCAGAACAAGAACACAAACATCTTGAACATGTTGTAAATCAGAAAATGATCAAAACAAAACATAGACTAATAGATTAAAAGCATGCAGAAGGAAATGGGAAATTCTACCTTGGCAGTGGACCCAAGGGCAGACAAAACGAAATTGTATCAAACATATAAAAGCTTACCACAAAATCTGTAAGTTAACAAATATAGAAAGAAAGCCTCAGAATGTTGCAGAAACATGTCAAAATACATTCAGAATTTCTCCATTGAGATGGATGGAAATATATTCATTTAAAGGAATAAAATCATATTTACAGACATTTTCTTTTTCAGTAATCACTAGTTTGTCTTTCAGAGATTTGAATTGCATGAATTCAATAATTTCTTGGCTAGTTCAGGCAACTATACTTAATGCATCAGAAAAGATCAACATGGGGGCCCACATGGTATAGTAACAATAATATGACAATCATAATTTATAAACATTAGACATGCTTCTGAGTAAACTTTCATGAATAGTTCAATGTGTTGTTACAATTAAAAGTGTCCTATCATCATTAGAATGCTACTCAAGTGTCCAATATGGGAAAGGACTTAGTGGGAGACTAAAACTTGTTCGATCTTTGCAATACAACCTGAATTAGAGTACTAGCAATACATGCAGTAATAAGGGAATGTAAATAATTGTATAACACCTTGTCAAACCTTATAATATCCCTGCAATCAAAAATCATTTTAACAATCTTCTTTACATTGAGCTTTTCAAAATGTATCAATTGTAGTTGTAGACTTGACAAGAGTTACATATTGAGTTGCTGGTTATTTTTTTTTGTTTATGTTCTGTACACTGCTGCATCAAGGGAAACATTTAATAGAACTATTCAAACACTTTTAATGTCACAAACACATAATGATATAACAAATACAAGGTGTAATAGACAAAAATTTTTTTGAAACAATTGTGAATAAATGTAATATATTTCTGTGTGTATATATAACATGTTAGTTGCAAGGTTTATATTGCTGAGTTACTTTCATTAGTTTTAAAAGCAATACAAGTGTAAATGGAGATGAATAAAGTGATTATCAACAAGCTGGTTAAATGGAATGAACAAGTCTGTATGTGGAACATTCGAACTAACAATTATATAGGTCATGTAAGCAAAAGCAACCAGATAATAGGCTACACCAGATGAGATACTTGTTATGACATAAATAAATAAAAACCACTGTGAGCTTAAATTACCTTGCACTCAAGTAATTAAATTAATACTGATCTTCTTTTTTTTAATTACTTTGCTTTCTCTAACATTAAACATATTTCACAGTCTAAGAAAAAAATTTTTTTTTTGTTAAAACAAAACCTGATTTGTTGTTGGGTGACAGACTCCATGAGCAGTTGTAAATTTAGATTCTAAAATGGGAAACCTTTTCCCTGAAGTCTATTTTTAGCCAGCCTGAACAAAGTCACAAACAAATCCAACCAATAGGGTTCAAGTTCAAACTCATACTGGGGTGAGATGGAGGCTGGGTGAAGTCCAGGGATCTTGGTGTCTGTAAGGCTGCTTGAACTTGGGACTGTGGCAACAATATGGCCTGGCATGGTCAAGTCTTGCTCCTCAGACTGTGTCTTGAGATCCAAATGTTCTAGTGTGACATGGGGACCATCAGTGGGCAGGTCTGAGTTTTTCTGGGTGTCAATGAAGGCAGCCACCCTATCCTTGATAGATGTTCGAGTCTGCTGATAAAAAAAGCATAAAAGATAATAGATAAAATGTATCTGTTCCCTCTTCCGTTTTAGTTTAGTTCAACTTGTGTTGCTTAGTCACAGACTTTGCACATGATGCTGCAGTTGAAAAGATTCTATGATGGGCAGGACATGTCTGTATATCTGATAAGTTGACTTCCTAAACAACTATTTTAAGAAAGTTGGAAAGGAAGGAGTTTTCAAGGCCTAATAAGAAATAAAATGATATCGTCTAAAGCTGTAAAAAGGAATACAGAATCAACACTTATGTCTGGGTGGAGCTCTTATGGAGTAGATGTGGGTGTCTGTGACTATAAGTCAAAGAGAACACCCAACATAAAGAAAAAGACAAGCAGAAAACATGATGCTAATGCAGACCAAATAGCTAGAAGCCCATCCTACAGATAGACTAATTGTAATCCACTTTTCTAAGCAAAGATCAGGGCTAGCAAAGACATTCCTTCAGTGAACAGTACCAGGAAAAAAAGAGGCAAAGAAAGTTATGGGAAGGCAACATAAAAGAATGGATTGGCCTATCATTGAAAGAGATTCTATCCAAGGCAAAAGACAGAAGAATGGAGAAAGACAGTTGACAAATCATGTGTGGTGTCCATACAATTCAAAAGACTAAGGAATAAGGGAAATTGACAGCAAAGATCAGACTAAACAGTCATCTTTCTGTTCATATGAAATGCAATAGCGCATATTTTTTTACCACAAGGAATGAGCTTCTGAGTAGGTTCTGACATGATAATGTTAGCTTAAATTAATTTTTTTCTTATTAAATAATTTCCAAGTGTACATTCTTTACATTATCTGACTGTTTAATTTCATTCAGATTTACTACAATGTTCGCAAATTAACTTGCCATAAATGCCAAATATTTGAACTTGTGTGCTAATTAAGTAATTTTAATATGACCAAATTTTCAAACGCTGGTTTAAAGTGCCAAAATGCTTTACAATCAAATCTGGTTGATCGCACCACCAGTTACCAAATCAAACCAGCCATTTATTCAGACAGAATTCTTAAGTACTAACACATTTTTGTAACACTAAAAATGTTCATATAATCAGACTAGACGCTTATATGACAGAAATGATAATGTCCCAATGTGGTGCATGCAATTAACCAGACTTTATTTAACAAACTGCAGTGTTGAGGTTGTTGAAGTCAGAAAGTCTATCCTGGATACTGTACTTAAGTATTTATTGATAATATCAAATTGAAATCCTATTTTGTTTAGTGAAATAAAACTTGTTTGATCCTCACCTCCAAAGCTGAACTTCTATAGATCTGGTCCACCCACTGCAACACCAGCCGACCACCAGACGCCACAAAATCCACCTTGCAGTCCAACTCTGAAATGGATAGAGCCTGCAGCTGGGCATCCTCATCACAGTTCACCACCACAAGAGCATCAGGGGTCAGAAGCAGCACAACCTTCACCTCTGCTTCCATGAGATCAAAAGTCACAGCAGGAGCGACCAAAAGAAGCTCTGAAGTTGGAAACTGCGAAAAGTTTTTCCTGAAATGGAAATAAAAATATTCACAAAAAAAATGGACATTTGTTAGGTGCTCCCAAGCTGTGTCTTATACAAATAAGTCATAAAGGGGTAACACTCAAATAACATCTTCTCCCCTTCCTATGACATGATTAAGTATTTGGCGCAAAAAGTTATTTATTTCATAGAAAAAGTTTTGCTTAGAGAATATTATTAGTGAAGGATTTTAGGAAGGATAGCGAGAGTAAACAAAGAAGACTTTCAGCAGCCCAATTAAGAATTTGGTGTGAAAAGTTATTTGTTTCATAAATTGGAAAGTTTTGACAATGACAAGATGAATTAAAAAATATGACTAGGGTTTAGGAAGTAAAAACAGAAAACTTTTGAAAGCCCTAGAGTAAGGTTGGTTTTAGCAACTGAAGTAGATATTCAATGGTTCCCCTCATTAAGTATTAAAAATCTTGTTCGACATCTTTATCAGCATCGACTATCTTATATTGTTGGCCTTACACCTTTGTCATTTGATTTCATTATTTGAGCCACTTACACCAAATATTTAAAAGGCCCATCTGGTAAGTCTAGTCTTTTTCTGACATTTGGCTTCTCTAGTCTTGTTGGCAACTGGCCAAGTCCAGTACCATGAAGTATACCTGAAATGAATGAAAGATTTTGTTTTAAATCAGAAATAAAGATTGTTTACAGATAATGAGAAACACAAAACGGCTATAAAAGTGCAATTACTATTTCATGAAACATGGTTTTCAAAAACAATGCTAAAATTTCACATGCCTCTAATTGTTGACTGACTGATTTCATAAACTGAATTCATGCCTTGCATTTTTGGTAGATCTGGAGGTCTTCAATTGGACACTGTATTATAATTTCTGATATAAAAATTTGGATTTTCTTCTGGCCACTTTCACTTGATTATCCTACACACCTTTCCTCAAGAATGAAATTTTATTTGACTATAGAGCTTCCTCCATCCAATACCAAATAATTCTGGAACTTTCTGGGTATGATGTCCACAAGGTATCATGACTTTTGCTGTCTCACCCCCTTTAACCCTTTTTGTTTTTCCCTTCTTTCTTTGCATGGCCAATTTAACTGAGACCAGGAAAACATACAAACAAGCAAAAGAAAAAAGAATACTTTTTAAAAAACAAAGCTTATCAAATAGGGAAGAACTGCTAATTACTGCCATTTATATCAAGAAGGCAGGGTTTAGATCCTTTCTGGTATATATAAAAAAAATAATTTTTTTTATTATTATTAATTGATTATTTAATTGGTTAATTTTTGTATTTTCATCAACTATGAATACTTATGCAAAATTTCAACTTGATCCAAGAATGGGAAGT